GTCGAGTTAAATCCATACATATAATAAAATTATAACTAAGCCGAATCCGTACATTAGATATTCTTTTGAAAATCTTATTGAAATAAACATTATTATCGATACAGAGGCCGAATCTATAGTTTTTAGAATTTTCGTCTGTCTGTCTGTTACCGCATTACAGAAAAGCCACTGGACGGATTTTGATTTTGCATTTTTTAAGAAAAAATACTTAAATTGCAATGTAAGAATATACTAATATTATGTAAAACCTAAGCATTTGATTTTTGATCAGCTGAACGCGGGCGGAGCCGCGGGCATTGCTAGTTGTACTTATAAAAAAGAAACACTTGAATTTATCATAGCAGTAAGGATTAGAAATTATATTACATTGTTTTCCATAAATTAAACGAGCGCAGTCGCAGTAAAAAAATAAATATTTAATTGATGTCACTTTCAGAGTAAATAAACATATAATTTATTCTGATAATAATTATGAGTGTAATATTTCTCAAATGTTGCAACAATCTACACATCCAGACTAATATTATAAATGTGAAAGCGTGCTTGTTTGTTTATTTGTTTGTCCTTCTTTCTAGTCGAAACGGAGTGACGGAGGGTTGGAGAGCGTCATAAGCTACTTTTTATCGCGGGGGATTATCTGATTCCCATCACGCAAAATAGGCGCACAGACGCTGAGTTGTGGAAACAAGCCGGAATATACCATACCATCTCATTCCCAAGGGAAAACTCCTTATATGACAACCCAAAAAATTATTTATGATCAGAATTACTCGAAACTTGGTATTAATGCTCTTCAGTACAATTACATAAATACGTGTTTTAGCATTTTTCGAAATTAATCTCATAAGGGGGTAAAATAGGGAATAATATTTTGTATGAAGTCTACCGTTAAAATAAAAGTAATGCATATATATTTAAAGATTTTTCCGAAATTGATGTCTTAAAAGGGTAAAAGATTATAATGTTTAGTAAAAATTTATTTTTTGATCCGAATGACTTGAAACTTGGCATTAAAGATCTTCAATTCAATTAAATAAATACGTCTTTTAAGTTTTAAAATTCTTGTAATTCATCACATAAGTGTTATGTTAATAAGTTGGTACGAAAATCCGCCATTTTTATTTTTAAAATTAAATATTCAAGATAAAAAATAAGCAATATATGTTATCTATCAGATTAAGTAGGTATTCAAAATTCGTCTCCTGAGAGGGTAAAAATATTATCAAGATAGAGTTGACTTAAAAATCAGTATTAATGCTATTGACGGTTAATAAACGAAACAGTTAAATAGATAGGTACTTAAAAAATATATTTTCAAAACTAAAAATTGCTTTTGGCCAAAGTAAAAAGTAATCAAAAAAAATCAAAGGGGGGGGGGGATGACAATAGTTGTGGCCTCATCTGGAAATGCTACTCCATATTTAGAATGTGGTAAAACGGGAATCTATTCTGAGACCTTTCAAAAATAGCTCTAAAAAAGGAAAAAAAATAATCAAATTTATAGTTTTTGGGGTAAATAGTGTATAGGTGCTTTCTATTTACTCTCCAAAGTATGAAGTTACAGAAATTGTTTGTATAAATTAATTTTTAAATAAATAAAACATCATATTGATTTACAATTTATTATACTTAACTTATTTACCAATTTGAAAATCCACTATGAAATGAGGCATGATGACCAACTAACATGCAATAATGTTGCAGTTTGTAAAAATATTCTAAATCAAAAAACCATTCAATGTATGTCCAATTTAATTATTGTAACAGGTAAATTATGGGGAATTAGAAATGTCCATATTATCCGGAGAATTCTTTTCATCCGACATGTCAAGGGTTTTCTCGATCACTGCATTAATTTTTTCTTCAATAACGGTCGATAAATTGGGAGATCTGTCTCGGGATTTCCTTTCGTGGGGAGTTTTGGAATCTCTGTGCGATCGACTCTTGGACCTCCGGCTTTGTGAGCGCGAGCGTTTGCGGTCACGTGACCGAGACCGTTTCTTATCTCTAGACCGGGATCGCTTTCTATCTCTTGACCTAGTTCTCTTCCGGTCTCTAGACCGGGACCGTTTCCTGTCGCGGGATCTTGATCTCTTTCTCTCCCTGGATCGAGATCTCTTCTTCTCTCTAGATCGTGATCTTCTCTTAGATCTGGATCGCTTCCGTCTTGATCTAGATCGAGACCGACGCTTCGACCGAGACCGGTCTCGCTTTCTGTCTCTGGAACGTGATCTATCCTTCTTCTTTGATGGAGATCTTTCTTTTTTCTCTTCCTTTTCCTTTTCTACTTCAACAAGCTTTTCTTTATCATCAGCGGGTGTCGATGCTTTTGACTTTGTTTCAGAAGTTAGTCCATTAGTTTCTACTTCAATATCAACTTTTAGATCTTCTCTCTCATCTTTCTCAACTTCTTTAGGTGGTGACTTGGACTTTTCCTTGTCGCGTTTATCTTTGTCGCCCGATTCCTTCTTGTCTTTACGGTCTCGATCGCGAGACTTGTCACGCTTAGACCTCGAGCTGCGATGGCGAGACCGCGAGCGCGACCTACGCGAGCTGCGGTGACGGGACCGTGACCTGTGAACAATGGATAGTTCATAAAAGAGCACTAATACAATTATTCAAATAAACTAAATGACTTATATATTAAAAAAAAAATATTTTTAAAAATAATTTAAGCACATTTTTGCTTTTTACTATAATGTTACAATCAATAAATAAATAAAACATAATAAATACTATTTAATATCTTAATTTATTAATTTAATACACAATACCCTGCATACAAAAAAAAAACAATTACATTACTGTGAATATTATCCACATTTATCAGATAACAATACGAAGAAACAAAAATCTACAGGCGATCATCCTCTAATAACTTTTAACATTTTCTTTGAAATGTTATTCACAGAGATGGTTCTCCTATACACTACACAGTATGATAGTCTCCCCCTGTATGCCTCGCAGGAACGCTGTCTAGATGCCTTTGTTAGAAGACTGTATGGATTAGTAGTATGACATTACCTAGTGCGGTGCCTGTGCCGAGAGCGCGAGCGTCGCGAGCGATGTCGTGAGCGCGAGCGCGAACGCTTGCTGCGGTGGCGCGAGCGTGACCGTCGCGAGCGGGACCGAGACCGTCGGCGAGAGCGTGACCGGGAACGCGTTCTGAAAATATATAATATTTAATGTTAGCGACTTACTCTCGTTTCGCTCAGGTGCCTCCTTAGGTGCTTACTGTATGTTATTACCAGTCATGGTCTGTGTAATAAATTTCATCCAAATCTGTTCAGCTGTTTTAGCATAAAGAATCATACATGCATATACAAGTTGATTGTGTTTATACTTTATAATAGTAGTATGGTTAGGTGATTAACTATATTTAATATTTATGTTAATGCTTATTTTGATTGTTGTGTACTCTAGATTTTGATTTATTTCCTATTTATTGTTATAGCTGATTCCAAAAGGTTCTTATCATGGTTTATACCTGCATTATCTTTCACAAAAAATATAGTCAGGTAAAAACATTTTAAATGTAGGACTCAAAATATATTGTATACAATATACAATTTGATATTTACTGCAGATTTTTGAGATATTTAAACCAAAATTAAATTTTTAGACACATAATTATTAAAAATACTATTGCCTAAGGCATTGAAATTATAATGACTTAGTACCTTCTTTTATCTTTAGACAAAAGTCCAATGACAGGGTCTATAGCAGCAGAGATAAGATTCTGAGCTTCCTTCACTCGACACATAGCTTCTTCTATCTCTCGTTGGGCAGCTTCATTACTCTTCGTTTGGGGCTTTGAAATCGCCTGAGTAGCATGATGCACCTAAATAATTTTAAATAATTAGCAAATAAAAATGAGACACAAATCAGTTACCTAAACACTTTACTAATATCAGAACTAAACCTCTGATACTTCCAGTACATGATTATCCATTTTTTAGAATTACTATACTGATAGGATTCTTTTACATTGATGATAACAACTTTAATTTAGTTACGACATATTGAATAAAATTTATTGAAATATCATTTCTATTCCATTCAACTCCTCCTTTGTTAGATTCTTTTGCACCTGATTTTCTTTGATCCTACGCCCTGTCCCCATTTAACCATGAACATTCAAGCAGAAACTTACACAAAATGATCAGCATTAAATGCATAAGCACGCAGGTGCAGCCCTTAGAATTGATGGGGTTCTCTGCTTTTGTGGAGTCAGATGCACATGTCTGTAACATTCTACATTCCCACTAATGTAATCATGTGTTTAAAGTGTAGTCAGAAAAAATTGTTTTGTGGAAAGTTTTCTTGCAGGGATTAAATCATTTTGATTGACATATGAAAAGGGAACAGAATATGGATGTTGGCATCATATAAAATATTAAAATTTTACTAAAAAATTGCTATATCCAATCTATATATTAAAAGAGGTATGATAATAATACAAGTAATGACTAATTACAACAAGTACTACTACTTACAAAAATAATTATATTGCAGTTACATTTTTATGTTTGTGTGCTAATTTAAATAGCATATTCACTAGCAATTTACCTTTATTGTTTGTCCTTCTAGTGTGGATCCATTTAACTGTAGAGCTTTAGGTACACTTTCTTGTTCAGTCATTTCAATCAATGCATACTTCAGCTTGTCAACATCTCTTTCACAAAAGCGTAGGTAGTTAACTTCACCTGCTTGACAGAAGTGGTCTATGATGTGCTGATGGGTAAGCGCACCCACATCTATAATTAAAAGAGTTCTTCGTATCTCTTCAATTTTTCGGGAATCATAAGCAGCAGGTAGAGGAGGATAAGGTGGTAACCCGGCTGCTGCGATTTTAGGATCATAGGTCTGAATAACTTGGTTTGGAGGAAGACCTTCTAATGTGTTAATAACGTGGGCTGGTAACCGCGGTTCTACTGTACTGAGCCCTGGAACTAAAGTTCCATTACTGGACATTTCTAACGCTTTGTGTTCATCAGGAATCTCACCCGATTGCATAGGAATGACAATCAAGGCTCTGTCAATAAACACAGTATTTGTCATATGTTGAGCTACATTAACCGTTGTCGAATCATAGTATTTAACATAGCATATCCGAGATTGTACTGGACAGGACACGTCTCTTATAGTAGGGTACAATCGAATATCGTCTATTTTCCCTAAATATCCAAATAAAGTTTGCATTTGGTCCTTCGTCGCTTGAGGTGCGATATTGGTGACTTGTATCACCCTCGTCGCGCTAGATACCATCTTTGATGATTTACACATGAAGGCGACTCCTAATTAACTATAATATAATAAAAATAACCGACAAGCTACTGGCTATACCAGAAAATTCACATTTTGATTGGTTTAATTTCATGAAAATCTCTAAACTGAAAAATATCTTTCTAAGAACTTTCCTGAAGCCACACGCAGCACGCTTCCAAAATCCATAGCCAACAATTAATGTAATGACAGTTGTTAAAATTTTGATATAGATATAAAATAATACAGATCTCAAAAACACTCATAGAATAGAGAAGAATTTTGCCACATTTTCCCACTAGATGTCGCAATCACGATGATCCTCAGTATAATATGAAGTTCCATAGCGTGGATGGATTTTTTCATTTTATTAAAAATTTCATTAAAATTATAAATTTTGCAGTGCCAAAATGCAAAGAAAATGGATATCATTTGTTCCCAAAAGATAAAAACTGATGAAATTGTGGGCTAAAGCAATAAGACCACCGAGAGTAGCGAACTTGCTTAATCTCAGACTGAATGAAAATAGATCATACGTGTAGCGCCCTCCTTTGAAGAAATCTTTCACATTATTGTCTTTACTAGCTTCAAAGCATGTAGGCATCCCATAAGAAAGCATTTTTCAAATTAAGTCCTTATAGGGGGTAATAAAGTTTATATGGGAAAATAATAATTTATGATCAGAATTACTTGAAACTTGGTATTAATGTTCTTCAATACAATTATTAATACATACGTGTTTTAGCATTTTTAAAAATTCAATCCCTTAAGGGGGTAAAATGATGGATGAAAGTTGTATAAAAGTCTGTAATTAATGCACAGAAAATGGTAGTCTTTTCTCTTTACCCTTAAAATGAAAAATAAAACAATATAAATATTTTGTATTGTTGTAGAAAAAGCTTTTTAAATGTCGTAAAAACTTGGAAAAGATACGGCACCGCATTCTCCTTTAACTTTCGACGTTATAAATTAAAACCTTAATAAAAGTTCCAATTGTAGTAAAAAGTTAAAAATATTCATCCGTAGACGATTATTACGACGATAACAGTTTTAAAATCACTTTCTGTAAAATAATGTCCACATAAAGCCTTAAATATAAAGATTGTGATTTCACCAATTTTGGTCGTCTTATTGTTTTAGCCCACAATTTCATCACTTTTTGTCTTTTGGGAACAAATAATATCCATTTTCTTTGCATCTTGGCACTGCATAATTTATCATTTTAATTTTAAATAAAATGAAAAACAAAATCCATCCACGCTATGGAGCTTCACATCATATTGAGGATTATAGTGATCGCGACATCTGGCGGGAGAAAAAAACAAATTTCTTCCCCATTAGACAGTCTAGAGCACACTCAAAATTTAGCAGACCGTATTACATAGAGTATATTGCTAGTTGCTACATATATATTGCTGAATCTAGGCAAGTGTAAAGGCCGCTTAATAATTAATATTATATATGTACATACACACAGGCGGCAGATGGCAGACTTGAAATTTGAAAAGCCAGGGCTTGTTGGCGGGAAAAGTAGGTAATAATTAATTATAAGATAAAGTTTCGTTGTATTATATTAATAATGGCGAATCAGTACGAAAAAGTGGAAGGATTAAAATTTAAATTAAAGTTAGGTTAGTATAAAAAATATTTTTCTTGAGATGGTCAACTAAGACTAGTTATTTAATATTGATATTAGCCCTAAGTTGTAGAATAAACAATGAGAAAATTGAAAATACGTTGCGTATAGCTGAACGCTCTATGATTGAGGAGATGTCCCATATTAAAACTGAAGAAGAATTCGTGCTACAACAGTTAGAGGTAAATATTTAATTAAGGATGGCCCAAGAGTCAAGAATATAAATTACTAGCATTGCCCGCAGCTAAAAAGTATCCTATATGTTGACCCGGATAACCAGCTATAACCATACCAAGTTTCATCAAAATCCCTCCAGTTGTTTTTCTGTGATGCGGTAACAGACAGACAGACAAAAATTCTAAAAACTATAATGTACAGATTCGGCTTAGTTACAATTTTATTATATTTTTTTATATTTTAGTAATACAGTAAATAGCGTACGAAGTTTTCTATTTAAATTTGTATTATCTTTAGGCTGTCATTATCATGCTATAGGTATATTATAAAATAATAAGTACCTTTTCTTTTATTTTGTAAGGACGTAAAAAAAGAAATTTCCCAAACTAAGAATCAGATTATAATGATTGAAATATGCAACGCATCCGAGAAAGCAAAATTTGAAAGTAGTTTGGCTGAGTTGAAAAGTTATAAGGATAACTTTGAATTATTTTTTGAAAAGGGTAGGTTAGGTTATTTTGTTTGTAATATAACTAGCGGACCCGACAGACGTTGTCCTGTCTACACGTCTTTAATTTGAAAATTTCAAACTTTTTTTAATAATTTTTTTGATGAAAATTATTATTCAAATTGTGAATCTAAACCATTCCCAGATCCCCTTGAACACACACAAAAAATTTCATCAAAATCGGTCCAGTCGTTTGAGAGAAGTTCAGTGACATACACACTCACAGAAGAAAACAGAAGAAACTTATATATACTTACCAGTGTTCCAAATTATTCTTACTTATTATTCAATATTTTTCTTATATATATTATACAATTGTTAAAATTTATATTAGAACGAGAAATCTCTGAGCTTTACAATAAAGAAGTAAGGGAGAAAGAAGCTGAGCACGCGGAATTAGAACGACGAAAGCAAGAAAAGCTTCTACAATTAAATGAACAAAAAACCAAAGAAGTCATCGCTATTGAAAACGAGTGTGACGCGATAGAACGTGAATGTTCTATTTTGACGGTAATTTTTAAGATTATAAAAACTTTTTAACAAAAAAATAAAAACCGACTTCAAACAAAAGCACTAAAAAGTAAAAAATAACTGATTGGTAGTTTTCATTTACTATACATACCTAATCAAATATTTTCGAAGTCGGTGTGCTTTGCTTTGTATGGGCTGACACCGATTTCGAAAATATTTGATTAGGTATGTATTTAATAGGTAGGCTTTAATTACTTAGCCAAAGCACACTGACTTCGAAAATATTTGATTAGGTAGTACAGACTGTATATAATCAATTATGTGTAGCAATTTTGAACTAGATATAATATATGTAATTGTCGGTAAACACCAGTCCGTGCCTCGATCGAATTTCGTCCGCTCGTCTTCGTGTATTCTCCACCGCGACTAGACTGGTGTACGTTTGCTATAATAAGTATAGATCAAAGTATCAACAAACGATATTTAGCGTTAGTCTCATGTTAGTTCCGCAAACAGCCACTCGGAAATTCTCAATAATTCGTTAAGACGTAGAAGAGGGCGATAGTAGGACTCACCGAGTTTCTTTTCAATATATCGCGAACTTTTATTTTTTATCTCTTCATCAAACAAGGATATAGATTATCTCCAAAATAATAATCGTATAGTTTATTAACAACAAAAAGCAGTTATAAAAAAGGTATTTTCCTTTAGGAAAATTTTCAATAAATAAATAAAGCAACACCAACAAAAGTGGTAGCTCAGTAATAATGCGCTCGCTTGGCAAATCGAGTGAAGCTGGTTCAAATCCCGGCTCTCACACCTCTGATATTTTCACGTGCGAATCATTTCCAATATGATTATCACTTGTCTTACGGTGAAGGAAAACATCGTGAGGAATGATATGTCTGAGAGAACCTAGTCAATTTTCGAAAGACATGTGAAGTTCGCCAACCCGCACTTGGCCAGCGTGGCCCCCTCGTATTGAAGTAAGGCCCGAGCCCAGCAGTGGGATGTTATGAAAGGGCTGCACAATACAATAGGTATATAGGTTCTAGATAAATCTTATTTTAAACGACATTACTTTTTAGGTACTTAATACTGGTAACCTGATTTATACTCACTGTAATACATTATAACAAAAGTATGCAGTTGATATCGATTTTCATTTTTCTTTCTTTATCTTATCTTTGATATCTAGTTAGACGACATAGTCGACAGCCTCGCAGAATTTTTTATGATAAAAAACAAAACAAAAGCTAATTATAATTTTATCGTTATTACATTTCAAAAACTTTTAAGCCTTAAGTTAAATTAACATCGTATAAGTTAAATTTAATAGATTATATTCTAAAGCAAGAAGGTAACTTATGTAAAAAAAAATGTATATGTAAGCAACTTGCGGTCTACTTTTTAGTAACAACTACCTAAAAAACATCACACACTTACAATATAACGAAGATTTAATTTATTTTTTCTGAAACCAATCAATTTCAACAGAAATAGATGAGAAAAACCCTTGTGGCATTGCCAATATGCTGCCAATTTTATTTTGTTTCTATAAGTAGCTACTTGCGACACACAATGAAAGTAAAATATATGGATGAAAAAGTATATCATCAATATATTATAAAGTGTCACGTTTCAGAGGTACGTGAATCCAGCAATAAAAATTAATTACTTACGTGTTAATGTGTTTTAGTTGTGTTTAAATAAGTTTCTATATTTCTCATTTAAACGATTGTTACTTCAAAATAACACTGAAAAGTGACAGTTTAGGGTACTTATTGCAGATATTTTTTTTGTTTCCTTAAATAAAATAAAAAAATTGATAAAATAAAAGTGTAGGTACGATTATTCATTGTCATGAGTACACATTTTTAATTCACAGAAAAGGAATAAGGCCATAATGTTAAAAATTCGACGTAAGCTTATAGAAGCAGAGGAAACACGAAGAAACCTTTCGAAAAAAACATAATTCTAATTAAAAAATAAATAAAATTCAAGTATATTTAATAAAAGGAAATATGTAGTTTTATTCTTAAAATATTTACTATTTAATTTTGTCATAATTATTAAAAAAAACATATATTTTTTAAACTAAAGGTTTTTCATTTTTATCAATACGGCATTTAAAAATAGGTACGGAGACTTAACAAAAGGGACAAATAAAAAACATAAGAACGCGTGTTATGAATTATATTTGCACAAACAATAAACAGATGCACAAACATACATGTATATAATATAATATATTACATACTTACCTTCATATCATACAAAAGATACAATCTCACATATTTACATCACAATAATTTGTTTTTTATCCGCAATATAAATATGATACTTACCAACAAACGGACAACTAGACAAATCTTTAATAGGATGTTTAAAAATATATCAAGCGTGACATTTTTTCCTTATTGCATATAATAGGCATTTATTTATACACACATTACACAGCATTAAAATATAAGAAGTTAACGTTAAAATAACCGGTGATATTTATTCCTTTATTGGAGAGTCATTAGGGCGTATACATACGATGATTTTTTAACGCGCTATCGTCGCGCGTTTGTATCGGTACAATCGCAAGCGATTTGCTATTATTAAATTCATAATAAGTGCAAACTACGTTCGTTTGCGCTATGTACATAGGTATTAATGATATTCGCTACGTCGGCGCGTTTACAAATCCTTGTGTGCACAGGCCCTTATGAGGAACATTATTACTTTAGAAGCGGTAAAAAGCACAGATGGCACAACTTTAACGCAATCAGAATGGTTTTAATTCAATTCCAATGATAAACTAAAATTCCAAATCATTGCTCAATAGATTTAATTTTAATACAAGTATGAAAAAACGTCTTATAATAATATTTTATTCATATAAAGCAGTTATCGATATTAATATTTCGTCAATGTGACCAGAACCAACCAGTAGCGAATATTATCTTTTCTATAATCGGTCATTTTAATGTAGACTTTACACAGTTCTCTTTTATTCTTAAAAATGTATTTTAACAAATTTAACAATTAGTTTAGTTCATAAACACAGGCACTGGGGAGAATAAATTGCAAATATAATATTGTATTGTTTTCTAGCATACACACAAAGAAAATCCACACAGAGCATAATTCTACAGTATAAGGATATTTAATGCTATAGAACATTTGATATGATATGGATATAACAATTTATTGAATTTTGGGAATTATTGTTTTTTTGGGAGTTATTTTTTTTATATATTTTTAATGAAGTCAATGTGCCCATATCAACTCGTTTATATACTTAAACCGTAAAATTGATATACCTATCTAGTACATACTAAAAATAAAAAATGGTACTTAAAAATTAACGTGAATAAAGTATAAATAATAATTAAAGTGATTACATAACGTGTGTTTATTTCAAACAACACTTAGGGAATGCTTGATTACATAAGAAATATTGAAATTCGATTTGTATGTAACTAAATAAAAAAAGTAGGTACAACAATAAAAACGACTTTCTCAGTCTTAATTCGATGTTAGTAACATGTCAATAAAATGGCACTACAAGGTTCTAAGTACTTACTCCTTAGGAACATTTCAATAATTTCAATATAAAAATGAAACATATAAAAATATTTTTTATATATCTAATAATATTTAAAGCGAAATGGCGCATTTGTACATCTTAATTTTATGGATCATCATAATATAGAAGACGATTTATGGCGAATAAATATCGCCATATGAAGCTTACAATAAATGGAACCGATCCGTGTTTAAAGCCTCCATACATGCGAACAACATCAACAATAGTCAGGTGAAACAAATATTATCTAACATGTTACATGATTACACGTTATTGCTAAATTTTATTAAATATACAAAGTCTCTTTAAGTTTTCACGAATTTGCCTTCGCTATTAAACACCGTTAGTATTGGTAGGTACACAATAAAATTTATATATATATATATATATATATATATATATATATATATATATATATATAACGAGTATAATATCACATATTTTATCTATCAATTCCATATTATGTATAATGTACCCAAGGGTTAGGGGAAGTAATTTTTTTACAAAAGGCAAAAGTAAAAATACACTAATTTATATTATTTGCAATGACTACCTAGTTCATCATTTGAATATAATCGATATTCCATGTTGAAACTAAAAATAATTTGAAGACTAGGCGGTATAAAATTTATTATATAGGGATTATCCATAAAATCATTAAATTCCTGTGACGTAATTTATGGATGGCCCCATATTAAAACCTGGATCAAAAAAACATCAGCATTGAAAATTCTCATTGAAACGAGAAATATGGTAAATATTTTAAGTAAGAATTAGCTGAATTATGCACCAGTAAATGATTTATTTCACGAAATATTATATCATTGTTCTTTATTTTTAACAAGACAAAAATCAGGTAAATGTAAAGACCCTAAAAGAATAATTAAAGAATTGTATACCAATTAAAGTAAATCTTATAAGACAAAAATAATAGTTAAACAAAAATATAAACTAAATTGTAACAGAAGTATATTTGCCATTTATAATTTATAAAAAAATAATTCGAGAGAGTTCGAGGGTTATCACTTCGATCCCCCCCAACGTGCGTTCACCTTGTCGTGGTGGGGGGGCTCAGTAGTGCCCGGCAATCCAACTGGGCGCGAAGCTAAGAAACGCACAGGGAGGTTGCCCACTTCGGTGGGCGGTGGGAGGTGGCCCTCTTCGGGGGGCGGTGTACCATGTGGGTTGCTCCTGGTACTTCTCTGATAGCAGAGTGGACTGTGGAGCAACCCCATGGTTGTGGTGGTCTGCTTCGGCAGACCTGCCGTCGGAGCGTCGTAGTTGAATGCGTAAGCGATCCTGCGACGCCCCATTAAGACGGGGGAAGGTTTTGTTGGGTTTTAGTGGGTAGTACGGGCTGTATTACGCCGGTGAGTCCCACACGTCGTGCGTAAATGCATTTCCCAACGTTAAAAAAAAAAAGGGTTATCACTTCGAGAGTTACTCGACTCGATGATAGTTGTACGATACAAAATAAAGCAAAATTAATTTGGTTAGTTGTGCTTAATATAATAATAATAAACGTATAAATAAAATCTCAACTTTTAATTTAATATGTTTCAATACTAAATTCTTGTTTTTAAGCTTTACGCAATTTGCCCTACTGACGAGAACCAACTGCCATGAGTCAAATTACTTACATAATATTATATTACAAAGTATACAATCGATTCGGGCAGCCTTTAAAAGGTAAACCTATACATAAAAAGGCAAAGACAAAACAGTTAAAAACCTTCTCCTCTATTTGTCAACTATTTTTTGTTAAGTGACTATGAACGAAATTTTGTGTTATGAATAAAAAAATCTATATAAATAGGTAAATCTTATTCATATGTTTTCTTGAAATTTTTAATAATAATTATGGTCGAGTTTCAACCACTAGGTGAACGTCAGTAATATTTCGATTAGTATACCAAAAAGGTTTTACCAAAAAGAATTAATACACAACTAATTAATCAATAACAGTTATATCTGAATAACTATCAAAAATTGAAAAAGTGAACTAAATTTACTTACAAAAGTCTTAGAAATTATTGAAAAAAAAAATCTTTATAAATTACTAGCGACTCACCCTTGCTTCGCTCGGGTTCTTCCCTAACCCCCTTAAGGGATGATTTCCAGGATAAAAACAATTTCCCTCACTCATTTTTCATAACATGAAATTTAAAAAAATCTTATTTTAGTAAAAAAAAACTTTTAATTTTTTTCTATACAAAACTTCCTGACAATAACAAACAAAAAAAAAAGAATTATCCAATTTGGTGCGGTGGATCCGAATATATTTTAATTTATATAGATTTGACATCAAATGAAGACACGATGAATTACCTAATATACATATATTCTATCATCCGTATTGTATATTTTATACACTTTTATTAGGTTTTAAAAGACAATCGTGAATCGATACGTCTCATGATGTTTGCCATATTAAATAAAAATGTTTAATTTGGTGAGATGGAATCCAGGACAATGCCAATATGTGAAGACTATTGTTAATAATATATGTTTGTATAACAAAGGCCTCGCAAAAATTAGACAGCTGGCAGTTATTTAAAAAAAATGTACAAATCTATCGGAAGTACCAAAACAATTGGGAAATAAATACTTCAAATACCTTTGACAATATTAACGTTTAGCGAAGGCAAATCAGCGAGTTAGCACTAGCCCCGTGAGGGCTGCGGGTATGGTCATACACTTGCTCCTAACAGACGCTCATCCGCTGATTGCTCCTCGTCGTCTGAACCGGACTTCTCTTTCTTTATAGATTGATAGCGTACCTGCGAAATGTATTATATTGTAATATATAATGTATTATAATCTAATATTCTACGCTAGACGACCTTATTAATCTAGTAGCTAGCACATAATGGACCAAGAGTTATTTAGGTTTGTCTCCTCGGGCATTTTTAGGTGCCCCGAAATTGGCCACGTCACATCCTATGCCTCAGAGCGCATGAAAAGCTCAGTCGTGCCCAGGCAGATATTGCCAATTCATGGGACTATGAGGAGAACTGAGGGAATAGAGAGTAGGTACACCAAATCTATTTACTCTATTTCCTCATTTCTGTTACCGTACATATTTATGGTATGAGGAAAATTGGACACTCCGCGCGCTAATCTCAGGAACTACTATACGATTTGAAAAAATCTTTTTGTATTAGATAGCCCGTTTATTGAGTGAGGCTATAGGCTACATCTATATGTATAAAACAAGGTCGGGTTTGTTACAACACTTATAACTCGAGAAATGCTGGACCGATTTTTATGATCTTAGTTTTGTTGGATTTGTCTTCACCCTAAATAGCAGAATAACTATTAAAACATCGGAAAAAATCACAAAAACAATAAAAAAAAATCTATACCACACTAAGCGTCAAAACGTGCCTACGCTCGACGCTCGTACGCTCGGGACGAACCCGAAAATAGCGAGGGCTAGTCGCTAGTCTATACTAATATTATAAAGAGGTAAAGTTTGTGATCTTGTGAGTTTGTGAGTTTGTGACGTTGTAGGGGGTAATCTCTGGATCTACTGAACCGATTTTCAAAATTCTTTTACCAATAGAAAGCCACGTTCTTTCTGAGTGTCATAGGCTATATATTAACCCGAAAAATGAAAAGGCTTTTTCGTGGTAGTCGGATTTGCAAAGTAAGTCGGAGAAAAAACGGTCGAACGAAAACGTTTCTTACGAACGCTGCCTTAACGATGAGAAATATATGATTATGTTCTAGAGAAAAGTTGTAGAGCTTAATAATGCCTACAAAAAAGTCAGCGACAGCATATGTCTAACTTTTATATTTAAGTCACAAAAAGTAGTTTTTATATTAAAAAAATCATTTAAATCGGTAGGTCATGTTTATTGGTCATATTATCAACAATTATGAATTCTTATCAAAATAAGTAAATTTATCGTCTAAAATGCTTAAAATAAAAGACTTTTCCTTTTTACTGCATATAATTTGGACAAATGGTTAAAGAGATAATACAACATATTCGTATGTATGGACGAACCCGAGCGAGCTGTTTATCTGTTTTTCTCTTTGTACGGGCTAATCTCCGGATCTATTGAACCTATTTAAATGAAATTTTGCATAGTGGTACCTTATATCCCCGGGCAACATCTTAGATACTTTTCATCCTGGAAAATTAAAGGGTTCCCGTGGGATAGTTAAAAAACTATAACAACTTATACATCTTAGTACACGAAAACTACTGATTGGATTTTAATGAAACTTTACAATAATATATTTCATACATAACAAAAACAAATCAGCTACTTTTCATCCCGGAAAATTAAAGAGTTATCGTGGTAGAGTCGAAAAACTATAGTAACTTATACAGCTTAGTACACAAAAACCACTGATTGGATTTTTATGAAACTTTACAATAATATAGTTCATAAATCAGAATAACAAATAGAAAACTTTTTATCCCGGAAAAACGTACTTTTCCCGTGAGATAGATGTTTTTATTTATTTGTAACGTATTATGTACACAACATAGACCCCAAAACAATAGTTATTAAAAAAATTGTCTGTTTGTCTGTTTGCCTGTATGTCTGTTTTTGTGTGCGCGTTTCACGCGAAAAGTAATGTACCAATTTCAACGAAATTTGGTGAAGTGATAACTTATTACTCGAGTCAACATTAAGGATACCTTTTGTATGTATGTATGTATGTATGTATATATGTTGTATTCAGCCCTTTTTAACACACGCACGGGCCTCCCTTCAGTACGAGGTGGATCAGGCCATAGTCCACCACGCTGGCCAATATCAGAGGTGCTAGACCCGGGTTTGAACTTGCTTCACTCGGTTTCCCAAGCGAGCGCGTTACCACTGGGATACCACTGCCTAGATACCTTTTACTTAAAGAAAATCTTTCTTTCCCACTGGAAAATATAATAACTGGTTTTATCGACTCCTCCCTAGAAGCCTTCTGGTGACTAAGCCTCAAGACATACATACATCAAAACAATGTACTAAAAAATTGTAGGTCTTGAAAAGTCCTACAGAAAAGTTGTGAATAGTGTTTGTCTATCTTCTAAGTTGCACACGCAATATTTATTCTTATATACGCACGCAATATTTATGCCTATAATAAAACTTAGTCAAATCGATGTGCGCGTTTCACGCAAAAAGTACTCAACCGATTTTAACTAAATTTTGTATAGTGATAAAACTTAGTGCTCGGATCAACATTTAGAATACTTTTTACGACAGGCAAATTATTCATTCCCACGGGAAAATACAATAACTGGTTCTATCGAATTGTCCTTAGAAATTTATATGGCTAACGTTGGCTCAACCTTAAGAGATAGATCAAAACATTGTACAAGAAAATTCTAAGTATTAAAAAGGTCTATAGAAAAGTTCTACATAGTATATGTCTATCTCCTAAGGTACACTCGCTATAACTATTTTCATTATTATTTATTTCTGTTTTATTATATGTTATTTATTCTATCTGAATATAGGTACATAAATGAATAATAAAACTGTAGAGGTCGAATGACTGTACATAGAGTCTGTACATAGACTGTAGAAAAAATTGCTAAAAAACGAGTCAGTTCTCTTCTTGCATACCGTAAGGAGAGAAATAGAACAAATCCAGATTTTTTCAAATTTTTTGTTTCTTTGTCTGTTCGTAGGGGCTAATTAATCTCCGATACTATTGAACCTATTTAAATGAAATTTGATACTTTTCATTCCGGAAAATTAAAGAGTTCCCGTGGGATAGTTAAAAAATTATAGTAACTTATACAGCTCAGTACACAACAACTTATGCACCTAATTTAGTAAAATTTGGCATGCTGATACCTTATATTGCAGCTCAAACAACAGGTTACTTATTTTATTTTTATCCCGGAAAAATGAACGGTTCCCGTGGGATAGATCTGTTTGTGCTTTTCTAGAGGTGAACCCGAGCGAAGCGAGGGTGAGCCGCTAGTATTTAATAATATGGTAAATATTTTAAATATCTACGTATATAATATAATCACTGCGATGACCGCGCAAAAGTATAAACTGCGCATAGAAAAAATCAATAATGTTCAATGAAACTGATGAATCAATAATGTCTAATTACTTAGGAAAATAGCTTGAATATAGACCATATACAGGGCTACATATCAAAGACATGTTATGAGGTTAAGTAAATAATAAATATTGAAGTTATATATTTATTTATCATCTTATCAACATAAATATATGTTCTATACATATAATAAAATTCTAACTAAGCCGAATCTGTACATTAAACATTTTTTGGAAAATCTTATTGAAATAAATATTATTATAGATACAGAGGCCGAATCAATAGTTTTTAGAATTATTGTCTGTCTGTCTGTCACCGCATCACAGAAAAACCACTGGAGGGATTTTAATGAAATTTATATAATAATAATAGTTTTTCTCAAATATCTTCCATGTACAGACAAAACATTTTAGGCATACATATAGGTGGATAATTTTACGAATCGAAATAACATTTATTAGCCTTTTTGTAACCATTTTTGCTACAAGGTACTAACAGTATTATTTGGCTGCAACAAACATTTTTATCTACCTATTGGTCATCCCCCATATATTTTTATTAGAATTTAGATTAGATTCCAATAAATTAGTATGTGTATACTAATACACTAAATGATAAGGCAGTGGTAGCCCAGTAGTAACGCGCTCGCTTGGGAAACCGAGTGAAGCGGGTTCAAATCCTAGGTCTCGCACCTCTGATATTTTCATATGCGAATCATTTCCAACATGATTACCACTTTTCTTACGGTGAAGAAAAACATCTTAGAAACACAATTATTTATATCAGTGTCGGATTTACAAGTGGATTGGCCCGAAATTTCTAATTTTGCAAATATAACTTAAAAATCTCTGTTGTATCCTCATATTATGTGGGCCGCGTTTTCGTCGGAGAGGGGTCTCCCCACTAAATGCTGCCTTGATTATTGCATCACTTACTTTAGTCTTTATTTTGCTGCTTACGCCTCTCGGTCGATACATAAGGAAGTTGTCAGTCACCCAGAATATTAAAATCTGAAAATGCCACTCGATTAGTATGTAAAATTAGAAACGTAAATTCGAATTTTGCGTAATTTTTAAAGGTTTTCGAATTTCGCGCTGGAACTCTAATTATTTCTAGAATACAACATACCTATATGTAGCCCTACTAACTCCTCTACCTTTCTGTGAAAGTTTTATTACAATCGATAAGTCGTTGCTCGTTCCAAACATTACACCGGACAAACAGACAGACAGACAAAAATTTAAAAAAGGGTTGTCTAGGTGCTGGTATCATATAAATAACTATGTACTTGAGAAAACATAGTTATTTTGAAATCACAGACAGACACTTCAATTATGTTTATTTGTATAGATTTGCTAATTGCTATACAATTTTTTCTTTTGTGCATTTTACACGATATCTTCACCGAATTGTTAATCGATTCTCATAATTATTTTATAATGAATTAGTTTTACAACAAGACCTCTATCGACCTCTCGGTCTATCATCAGTTTAGGTCATATCAAATTATTATTAATGTATTGCCCGGATTCCATAATATATTTACTTACAAAACTTCAAACGCATTAGTTATTTACAATACTTAAATTTTAAAATCGTAATGAAAATTAAAAGAATGTTAAAATCGACTTCCAAAATTTAATTGATCTAGTTCGCCTAATAGTCGAAGTACGATCATAATCATTATTGAAAATTTGAGGAAAAAATATTTTAATTGAAGTTACCTATCTATATAAAAAAAACAGTTTCTTTTGGAAACAGCTTGTTAATGGCTACTTCTAACAAAAAAAAGAAAGTTTACCTATAATTTACTACGCTAATAAATAAATAAATAAAGCTAAGTAAAGTGTGCTAAAATTTGAAAACATATAGAGAAAATTAATTATCAAATAGTTATACCTATGTGTCATATACTCACATTCACAAAAAATGGTATGATGAGCATCACCACAGCCAGTTCCAGCCTCGGGTCATTCACTGGGGAGAGTCGTAACGTCGACAAAACGGCAACTATAGGCGGTAGACGTAACACTAACGCTAATACCGATTTGGCAAATGTCGCAAGCGCTGCGTATAACACGCATTGGCAAATCCACGCTGCACACATTGGAGGTTTACCTGAACAAGAGGTATTAATGTAAACTAGAATGAAATTGAGTTAGTCTTCATATTAGAAGTTGTGAAAGTTACTGTAGGTAAAAAGTTGGATTGGAATTCGGAACCCTATTTCTATTAAGAGCCTCTGCAATCTGTTCGTTTGTCTATCATATCAATAAAGCCAAGAATGCCAAGAACACTGATATTGGCCTAAGGTTAGGAAAGACAGCTGGGCGCGTAGCCAAGAGACACGCTCACATACTCACACTGGGAAGCGGCCCACTTCGGTGGGTGGTATACCATGCGGATTGCTCCTGGTACTTCTCTGACAGTAGAGTACTGCCCACCTGAGCCTAAAGTGCAGTAATAGACATTTTGGTCGGTTTTGAGTTAAATATATATTCTAAATCCCCATTTTAGTAGCTATCAGTCAAATTAATTCTTTTTTCTGTAGCGCTAATAAAAGTATTTTATTTTAATGTTTTTTCGGAAGGTGTAACAGAAAAAATATCACAAATCTGTTAAAATATTCCAGGTTTACCAGCTAAACCGCAGTACAATTAATACTGCACAAGATTTTTCTCTGTTTCCTAACTAAACTGCAGTGTTTTATCATATTTTGTGGCACTTAAAATAGTAGCTTGTTCTAGGAGATTCAAGAAAAAACTTATTAAAATGCAGTATTATTCGACTCTATACAAGTTTATTATACTGCAAAGGTTAAGAAAAAATATTTTTTATTTATATTCCTAATTAAAGTGCAGTATTAACATTCCATACTGCACATTAACTTGTGGGGGATTTTGTAATTTCTTGTGAAGAACTAAAAGACATGCAGTATTTAATAACTTTACTGCAGTTTAACTTGTAGGATGTTTTGTAGTTGCTTGTAAAAGACCATTTAGCTTACAATATTTATAAATTTTACTGCATATTAGTTAGTTTGCTCCATCCAATTCATACTACCTAACATACTTAAAGACAAATACTATTTCCTAATACTGCGTTTTACTAGGTAAAATTATTAAAATATTAAAACACAGGACAAGCAATATCGCGGTTTGAGGCAGTCTCCTTAATCTGTGGCTTAAGGCTGACTTGACATGCCATGCTGTGTCTGTACCAAAGAGATATGGAGGGTAGAACTAAGGAGAACTATCTCTCGTATAAAAATTGACCGCTGACAAGCATTAAATTGGTGGCGCCACAGAAAACAAGTATATGAATCTATACATCTATACAGATAAATAAAATTGTAGTGTCTGTTTGTAATGTCAAAATAAACCTTTTTACTAAATGCATATGAAATTATATACGGTACTTATAAGGAAAACTAATTTTTAAAAATTTTGTCTGTCTGTTTGTTCCGAATAATCTCTGAAACGGCTGGACTGATTTTGACGGACTTTCAGTGGAAGGGAACTGATGTTATAGGGAGTAATATAGGCTACTTAAAAAAAAAAGAATTAGAGTTCGGCTCAAAAAAAAAAAGTATCCAGGGACGAACTCGAGTGAGGCGAGGGTGAGTCGCTAGTTTAAAACATAGCGTCATGAAAGTAAGAAGGTGAATTAAACAAGGAAAGAAAGATTTTCGCTTTGCTGTGGCGCACTTTTCAAAATAGTTCTAGCATAGGCAAACAGCAATATAATTATATATTATTTTTAAGTAATAATAATTCAGCACACTTCACTCCGTTAAAAACTACTAACTTCACATCACATCTACTTGCTACGCTAGTGCAGTAACGGTGAGTTTCTGAGCTATAATTTGCTGCTCACTACTGGACACTTTTTCAACTTGTTTCCCATATAAGTTAATTCTCCTTAGTTCTACCTTCCATAATCTTTTCAGACTTATTTTTGTAAGACAAGAATACTCATTTAGTAATTAGTTATGTTCAGAAGAAAGATTTTATGTAAATTTTATTGATCCATGCATGAGAAATACATGTGATATAGTTTTATGGTGGATTAACTAGTTAAGATTATCAACATCTTGTAAAGACTGTTATATTGTTAGTCATACAAAACAAAATTAAAGGTAATTTTATATTACTATAAGTGTGGAATATCAGTGTTTTGTTCAAAAAAACAGATTAAATAGCAGTATTTTCTTAATATTACTGCACTTTAGTTAGTAACAATCATGGAAGAAATGTCTAAAATGCAGTAATAACAGGATTTACTGCATTTAAAACAGTTTTTGAAAAGATTATACAAATAAAGTGGGTGTAGTAATAGGGGCTAAAAAATTAAAATTGCCATAATTATAGTTTTTTATAAAAAAACTAACGTAACAATGTTTAGTATTTTAGTTTGGTACATATCCTTTCACTTCCCATTCAAGGTTTTATCGAAAAGTCTCTTTTTGATATATTTTTATGGATTCTAAACTTTAGGCGCGTTTTTCTCGAAATCGTGTTTTTGTTGTTACTGCACTTTAGGTTCGGGAGGGCAGAGTAGATGCTGGGAACAACCCCTTGATTGTGTGATCTGCTTCGGCAGACCTGTCGTCAGGGCGTCGTGGTTGAGTGCATAAGCGATCCTGCGATGCCCCATTAAGACGGGAGAGGTTTTGTTGGATTTAAGTAAATAGTACTGGCATTGCTAACCAGTGAGTCCCACATAACCACCTGCATGTATACAGGTGGTAATTACTAAGGTACTTATTTTTAAATATTCAATGAAATTATACCATTTTCTGATAATATCAATTGTAATAGTCCAATATTAAGTTTCATTTCAAATTATATATTTGCATAAAAGAACATTTAAAATTACATTAAAAATCTTTTTTATTTAATGAAGTCTCAAATAAAGTAAACACAGGTTGTGTTTTGTATGAAACCTCACACATATAATAAAGTATAAGGTATATTATAAACATTTAAAGAGCTTATTAACTTTGTGATAATAATAAATAGCTTAGAGTGACAGTAGAGGTTATCATTGGTATAACATTATTTGTTGATAAAACTTATAGTTACTTAGTATCAAATTAATTAAATTATAAGTAGCAAGAATGGATTCGATATTTTAAAACTTTATACTCATTACTCACCATATTCACCAAAATTGATGAGAGGTATGTCATAAACTTGTGCACAATACTGTGCTAGCCTGATACCAGCCCAGATTATAAGCAAGCCTAGTGTTGAATCCAGCATAAAATTGACTATGTACCTGTTTAAGAAATTGTGAATTAAAGAAAAGAAACTTATACTCATTTCATTAAGTAAAATAGTTTTTTATTTCCATATTTTGCCTATAATCATATCATATATTCTATCATCATCATATGGCTTGATTTTTTATAACATAGTATGAACACCATAATGTAATATAAAAAAAATCAGCTTCAATCAGGAAAAAACTGTACAATACTTAAATATTTTTATTACAGAAAACTACCATGTTTTTTCCAAGTAGTATATTAGGTTATTAAAATGACCTTAATCTCAAAAATCACTTTCTAAGTATATTTTCAAGAATATACCATTACACTAATATGCAATAATTTATTTAGAATAATTTTATGCTTACCATGTACATGGATTGCCAGTCATGTGAGGTGATAACCATACATTTGCTGCATGTATTATAAACGCTCCAAGACCCTGCTTTGATGTGTCATAAAACCAAATTAACCAAGGTCTCCGTGCATAGCGGGGTTCACAGAATCTTTTACCTATGAGATAATATACTTAAAAATTGAGCTTTAAGAAATTTAAGTTAATTTAAAAAAATCATTAAGTTTGTTGCAGGTCACAATAATTTAGACAAAAATATAATTATGAGTGTATGTTGCAATTTATAAAGTAACTTTCAATTTTAAACCAGCTTACCTATTAGACATGTAAATGCTAATACTGCAAGAAGGAATTGCATAAACCAGCCGTACGTATCTGTAAGTGCATCTTTAGAGCAATGGGGTTCGGACCAATAGATGTAATCTGAGCTATTATTCATTTTTCATCCTTTTTCTCTTCACGATTCCAAGATATATTCACTAACATAACAATTTTAAAGGTCAATTAAATTTTACGACTGTGTGTAGGCACATACATCTAAATTTTGTATTTCAATTACTCTCAAAAAGTTTGAAAAAATAAAAATATTAGTAAATTAATAAAAATAGACTCGAAAATCGTAATGTATTGACAATGACAAAGACAGTAGCGTGACAGTAGTAACTGGTGTTTGTTTTGTCAGACTGACAGCTTCTTTGTCAGAATGACAGTACTAACTTAGTACTAACATAGCGCTTTTAAAACAAAGATGGAGTACTTACTAAAGTTAAAAGCCATTAACAGGAAAAATTAATTGAATAGTACGTACTAACAAATTAATCTCTCTTGTGTCCTCTGCAGATTACATCGTCAGTATCACGTAGAAACATGACACTGGTGAAGTAATCTGCGCTTATGGTAACTCGTTTCAAAGCCATTACGAAAAAAGTTCAATTGAATTCACTAACAAAAAAAAACGAATTAAACTGGATTACTATGAATTGGTTAGCTGCGTCAAAATAATATGATTAACTTTTATTTTTGTTAACACATTAATGCTTGTGCTAGCCATAATATAGAATACAAAAAAAAATATGAATTAAGAATTGCCGTTTACAAGGAATATTGGATATAAGATCATAAAATATTGAATAAATAACAAAAACCAAACCAAAAATCAACAATTTATTGACAGAAAATATTAGACTAAGTAAAAGACAATTACATTTCAAATATTTATGTGGATAAATTTAATACCTGAAAAATTTATAAGGATTGATAAAAATAGATATAAGCTATTTAAGCTAACATCTACGAGTTTACGAGCTGTGAAATATATTGTAGATCACAATAATTTACAATATTCTTTATTTTTAACAAATATTATTAAATAAAGATTATAAATTAATTTATACATAGTTGAACTGTAAGGCAACATTTTAAAACTACCAATTACCAAACATCTTTTCTGCTCATGGCGCTAATATTGCCGCCATTTTTATTGTTATATGTGTGTTGATTTTATTTCCGAAATAAAACAGTAAAAAAAGTGTTTTAGGAAAATATTAAGTCGTTCTCATTTGTATTTGGAGTTAAAAGTCTTTCGTGCTGGTGAGTACTGTTCAATTATTAGTATTGTTATCATTAATTATTTCAGCTCACGTCATATCGATTATTTTGCAACCGGTGCTATAGTTATACTTCTATAATTTTTAAATACATAACATGTTATTGATAATGTCATATTCATGTGTTTCATTGATAATTTTGAATTACAAATAAGGGTTACTTTAATTTGTTTATGTAAACGTAATAATACTAAAATAGTACCTACTGCAGTAATGTATGAACTGCCCCATACTACAGACAAGTTCTGTTTAGAAGAACTTTTATGTATAAAAGTTATATTTTCAATCAATTCTCTTGTTCAATTGGGACTTTCATGTCAGTTTTTTTGACACAAATATTTATGCAGCTAAGCTAGCTTATTTTGTCAAATTGATTTAATTCATAAGTATATTTAAATATTTCATTGGATCATTCTTTTCGTGACTTTGAATCGTAATACATTCAATAACATTTTGAGGTTATCTTAAGTAAAGTATGACTATTTGCATTTCATTTTAAAGATCTTCCTAAATATTATAAATATGAAATTATCGTTATGCTATCCCATGTTGTCCTCCACTTTCTACAAATGCTGTTAGAAAATAGTTTCTCATGTTGCTGTTTTAAAAATGTCAATTGTGACATTTGAGTATTTTTTAGTACATGTACTTAGATGTGCAACATTTAAAGATTTGACCAACAGTTTACGATGATAATTACAATTCATGTTTTAAAGCCAAACTGCAAAATTTTCCTTTATTATAATTAACATTCAGTGAAATTTTTTATTATTAATTAATTCTTATCGTCATGTTTTATTTAAGTTCAGAGTTTGAAGAAAGCTAACCTATTTTATTCTTGGATTTTATTGTATCATAACTTTATAGTTATGGTTATTTTCCTTCTGACCAATTTTGGCCCAAATTCTTGACTGTGAATTTGTGTGAAATATACTTGATTTAGAAATCAAACCCAAGACCAATAAGGCAATATAGTCTTATAAAATTTAAAAGATTAGAAATAGAAACAAAAAATGTGTATAATAAAGTTATTTTATCAGTTATTTATTTTTCATATAAATATTTCTTACTGTCTAAAAATCTTACAAAATTGTAGATTTGTGAGACTTAAATAAAAAACTTTTTACTGGTCTGTGAAAAATAAGTTTTTTCTATCTAATAAGTAAAATTCTGTTTCCAGAATACAAGTTTTCTCTGTGCAAAGCTTAGTCTAGGCCTTTAATTTGTCCATGATGACAAAATTACAATTTATGTAATATATAATAAACTTTTTTTGAAAAATTAATTTTTTTTGTACTTTTATCACCCTGGAAGCTATAGAGTCTGAAGTTTTTACATGTAACTAATCTTCTTTTTTTTTCTTGTTGTCTCTTATTGTTATTTTTTGAAGAGATAACATGCTTGCTCAATTACATACTATGTAATTGTTGGAAAGAATATGTTTTGCCAAATACTAAAATAAATTCATTGGTTCCATGCATTTCTGGTTTATTATGAAATAAAAAAAACTCATTTCAATCATTATTTTTTTACATTTTTCTCTCCCTACCTTTTCTTTAAAAATGTTTTTTTGCTATGTCCCTGTCTCGTGGTCCTGTTTTTGGTGACAAAAGTTCTTTTTTTTGGTATATAGTATATATACTATATACCACTATATACTATATACCATTGGTAGGCCAGAAAAAATAAAAAAATTACACACACACATAGATGAAAATACTAAAATACCATTAGTAGTGACAAGTGATTTGGCATGACTTTGGAATAACTCTATGGCTATATACATCGGTAATACGACCTATGATCAGCTATGGTGCCTTAATATGGTGGCGTAGAACACTTTTGACCACAGCACAAACCAAGCTACAAAGCTGGCAAAGGTTGGTGTGCATGGCAGTGACGGGCTGCATGAGAACAACACCAACCGCAGCACTCGAAGCCATGCTAAACCTTCTACCGCTACACTTGTTTATACAACAAGAGGCTGCGACTACCGCGGTAAGACTAGATAGTCAAAAACTGCTAAGGAAAACAGGCACTCCACACACAAAAATCCTAATAGACGTTGCCAAAGACATTCCTCTCATGGGAGCACCCAATGATGGAATACAAATAAAATACATTTTTGACAAAAAATATAAAATACAGCTGGAGGAAGATACATGTGAGGGTCGCGACAGCAAGGACCTAAGAATCTACACCGACGGCTCGAAAACCAAATAGGGACTGGCTGTGGCATTTTCTCCGATGATCTAAACATTAAAACTTCAATACCTCTAGGTACCTACAACACGGTGTTTCAAGCTGAAAGTCTAGGTATCCTTGAGGCAGCTAGAACAATTGCGATGAAGAAAGTGGAAGACTGCTCCATCCGCATACTATCAGACAGCATGTCAGCACTACAGGCATTAAATAGTAATTCTACCACATCAGGTATGATCTATGAATGTCATAAGGCCTTGACACAGGTAAGTGACCGGAATGAGATCACCTTACAATGGATCAAAGGCCATAGTAACTCGTGGGGGAACGATAGGGCAGATGAGCTAGCAAGAAGGGGTTCGGACATGACGGCGATAGGACCAGAGCCCATCGTCTCGTTACCTTCTTGCTGGCTCAAAGGCCAAATTCGACAACGAACTAAACGCCAACACAACAATGTTTGGCGTGAAGTTGTAGATTGTAGACAGGCGAAAGAATCGCTTCCAAACATTGATGTCAAAATGTCGAACCGTATCATCAAACTTAACAGACCTCAACTTAGGCAAATAACCGCGGCCTTAACCGGCCACGGACCATATAATAAACATCTATTTAATATAGGTATAACTGACAGTCCACTTTGCAGGGCATGCATGGGGGCAGATGAAACGGCTGCACATGTGATCTTGTATTGTCCAGGTGTAGCGGAGTACCGGGCTCAACATCTTGGCACTCCTAGGTCACTCCCGGAAATCTTCGGCAAGACAAAGAAGTTGCTGAAATTCCTGGAGGAACTGGGATGGCAGGAGTAACGAGAATTTAAATTCCCACACACGCAAAATAGGCGCATAGTCGTCGAGTTGCGGAAACCAGCCCGAACATACCATACCATACCATACCAAGTGATTTGGCAGATCAACTTACCAAAAATGAGCACAATATCTGTCAAGACTCAAAACAAGGATAGAGGAAAGCATTCAAGTATGTGGATCCTAATTAGAAAAGCAGAATCTAGATAGAGTGTTCGCTGTGGTTGTCAGACGCTACGTCGGTACTTATCAGTAAACCTGTTTTCGAAAAAAAATGTGTTTTTGCAACCCTTTTTTTTATTAGAAAAAAAAATGTCAGACGAATCATAAAACATGTTATTAAAATACAATAGAAAACGAAATTCTGGCATTTGCCCTTTTTCCTTTAAATTGTTTTACAAGAAAAATATATAAAATCATTTTTTATTCTTCTTTTGTACATTAGGTAAATAAATACACCGTTATTACCTTGCGTGCGTGCATTCGAATTATGACAGCTTTTACGGTATCTGCCATTTAATTTGAATGTACATTGCAATACTCACCGCATGGTCATTTTAGTCATGAACTATAGGAGAAAAAGGAAAACTAATTGTCGCCTCATCCCTTAAAAGGGTGGCGGGTGGCTAGGGTGTCGTCAATAGCTGGTATCAAAAGTAGAACAATAATTATCGATGGTGGTAGAGGTGGGCAGAGGGCCAGTGGTCGCGTTCCCGCGGTTTGACCGTCAACAAACGGTTGCTGGGCAACCACTCATGACATATGCATGAGAGTGGCACCGGCGACGATGGCGCTTAAATATACAAGGACGGACGGGGAAA